AAAAAAAAAAAAAGGGCACATTTATGAGGCCAAGTTGACACCCTTTGGGAAGAGCCTAGATGGGGATGAAGCAGCCGCTGGCAGGGAAACATACCGGCGAGAACGCAGAGCTGCAGACATGGCCACGCCCACCATGTGTTCAGTCAACATGCACTTTATGAACAATCTCATCTGATAATCTGGTGTCTTTTAAACAAAAGCACCTCAAGGTGCGTAAAAGCATGGATTCCCCCATTCGCCCCCAGCACCCCAACACACACCTACTCCGGGAAAGCTGGTGCTTATCTTCAGAAGGCATCTCTGAGAGAGCACCCAGCCGGCAGAGTAACCAAGAAGAGTCAAAACCATCCTCTCCCCCTAATCCAGATGAGGAGCACTTTTCGGGGGGCCCCTGGGCTCATTAAATTAGTGCATCTCAGAGTTTTGCCACATCCTGGCAGGACATGGTGCGAGAAGGGGACCCCACCCATGCAGGAAGCAAGATGCTTCTGGAATAATCTAGTACAAACTGGCTTCAAGGAAAAGGAAAGCAATTATTTGATAGGGAGCTCCACTCTGATAGGGTGGCGGCAGCCCTCCAATGCTAGCCTGAATTTCTGCAGTAACTACTGGTTTCTCTGCCTTTAATCTCTCTCCAATTTAGCCTCCATTCTATCCCTAAAATTCTCTTTTTGACAGCAGGTTCCCAACACGTCAGCTCCCTGTCTTCTCTGGTTCCCTCCAGCCCAAATGGCCCAGTGTGGCATTTAGTCGGCTACTAACCACCTTCCGAACTCAGGCACTCACACACCAGCCAGGACAGAAGCTGCACAGCCCCACACCTTTGCATACATGGCTTTGTTTCAAGTCCCCTGGAAACTTCTCTTCTCCCCAAAGAGAACCTTGAAAACAAGGCCTTATGTTTAAAAACACTGGTGAGGCCTGAAGCCCAGGCTGCCTGCTGCAGCCTCGGGCCCTCCTGCGCCTCCCAGCCCTGCATGTACCTCTAAACGCACCACTCTGTCCTAGTGTCCCCTGTTCCTTGAAGACATGTCTTCTGTTCCGTTTCCGAGAAGGCTGTGAGGAGGATGGGGGATGGCGGGAGGAAGAAGAACAGGAAACAGGAGGAGAGCATGGTGAGATCTCAGGCTCCAAGTTTTCTTAGTAAATCACAGCCTTTTTGCTGGACACAGAGGCTTCAAATATCAAACACATTTTCCTTCCAGAACAATTCTGAGAGCCTGAATAATTGCCATTTTCTTGTTTTGCCAACACTACACTCCCCGACCCCTCCTTCCTCCCCTGGTCACTAGTGGGTCGACCTTCGAGGCCGCTTCCATTTAACGGGGCAATACCGCAGGGCGGTCCTCCCTGCGAGACCAGCTCACATCTCTGTCCTTGGTCAGATCCTCTTTGCCTTCCGCTTCTTTTGGGGGATCGGCCAATGACTGTCCTGTCCTGAGGATTAGCCTCAGGAGGAATTTGATCAACACCCCAAAAGTAGTATTTTGATGTGACTTTTCAAATTTGAGATTTATAAAAGCAGGAGGCTGGCAACTCTAAGTGACACCACTTGTGAGTACCTATGCCCCACACCCTGCATTCAGGAGGAGGTCTACCTGCCCAGGAGGCCACAGCCAGGAGATTGGCTGGAACTCACCTAGAAAAGCACCTATGCCTCTCATGTCTGCTACCTGGGCTAGCAGGAATAGTTTTTGCTGAACTTTACCTGGGGGGAGAGCAAAGAACTGCACTAAATCCAGCACAACAGAGAGGACTCCCATGGCTGAAACCCCTAGGCCAGCATGCCTGTTGGACGCCAGGGCTGCCCACTCCCAGGCCTGCCTTCCTGGGGCCTACATAAGTCTTCTCTGCCTTTCCTTCTCCAAGAGGAGACACTAGAGCACAGCAGGAGTCACATGATAGTGAGACAGCTGCAGAGCCAACCCACCACCTGACAAGCATGAACTGTCCCCAAAAGGAAGCTTCCTTGGGTTCCCTGTTCACTGACCTTGAGACGTGAAGTGATGTGAAGTACAGATCCTGTAGCACTTTGCTTCCATCTCCCCAGTGCTGTTCTGTTTCCAAATTTATTTAAAAACCAGCTGACTTCACAGCTCTGGCTGTTTAGTAACCCCACAACGTAAGGGCTTAATATGAAATCCTTCAAATGAGCTGAGCAGAACATCAGACACTCAAAAAGCCAAGTGACCCAGGTGGTAGAGGTTAACATGCTGTGTGAATGAGGAGCAGAAGCATCAATCTTGTGCTCCAAAGGTGCTGCCAAGAGAGCCAGTCATGTGAGCACAGAACAGAGATGCAGGCGGTTGGGCAGCGCCCTCTGCAGCCCCGGGGAGGCTGGGGGTGGAGGGGTGTGGGTGTGGCTGCCCCCATCACTGCGTGCACACCCAGTTAACTTCAGCTCACCACTGCCAGGGGCCAGTGCCTGCAAAACGACCCATATTTTACCCTATTTATAACTATTACATCCACATACCAAGAAGATTGTGTTATCAAGCAGGTTCCCGGGAGCAACCCAAGGAGGTGGGATTACTAGAAAAATCATCATAAAAAACACGTAAGTACCAATTTAAGACTTTTCATTAACCTTGTCTCTCAACATTGTTGTGTTGTCCAATTAGTTGACTGAAAAATAGTAACAGGCTGTGGGGCCTGGGGCTCACTGAGCACTCTGCTCTCAAGGTGGGACAGGTCTGGACACTGCGATTTGATTAAGGGTAAAAGGCTAGTCATCCACAAGGACAGACCAGGACACCATCTTGTTCCATAATCCTCAAACAGAGAGCCTGCAAGGCCAGGCTTCGCCACCTACACCAAGGCTGAATCGGGGCCCCTAACAACAAAGCTGATGCACACTGGGCCTTTGCCTCTGCCACAAAGAATCCCCAAGTGAGTCCAATTAAGATGCTCCAAGGGGCCCGGTAGGCAGAGCACCCTTCAGAGCTGCAGTCCAGGTCATCAAGTGTGCAAGCTTGTCTCCCCAAGGCAGGCCAGCAGCATGAGGGGCCATGGCACGAGTATTACTTACACTGGCAAAGTCTTCAGTGCTAGCATGATATAAAAGCAAGACTCAAGTCTGGGTTCACGATGACTCAGATAAGACAGGGAAAATGCGAGGGTCAAAACACAGCAGGAATTGTAGCTGCCTAAAAATGCTTAGAAGAGGTTTAAGTAGGTTATCAGAAGTTTGGTTAGTACAACAAGTAAATTGACAGACCTATGTTTCAGACAGTCTTCACTTATGTCATAGTTACTAGAGACAGCCTTCCCTGTCACTCCTTGGAATTTGGCCTGCGCTGTCTGTGAAATAGAAACGGTAGATCTTCCTACCCTATTTTCATTTCCCATCTTAAGCGAGATGGCATTATGTCAAAGCATCATTGACAACCTGCCGGAAAGCCCTCAGAGCAGCACCGCCGCCGGGTGGCTCCACACACAGACCCAGGACCGCGTGGGGGCGTCCATCGGGGTTCATCCAGGCAGAATTCACAATAGACAAAAGGTGGAAACCCCCCATCACCTACTGACAGATGAATGGCTAAGCAAAACGTGGCATGAGCACACAGGAACGTCAGCGCTCACAGGAAGGAAGGAAGCAGGACCACCTGCGGGACACGGCCCAGCCACAAGAGCCTCAGGCTCAGTGAAAATGCAGCCGCAGAGAATAGAAAGCAAAGCTTCCACTGACAGGAGAGTCATGAACAGAGAGAAAGGAGAACAGTGGCAACCAGGGGTGGGGGGCATGAGTGCTTAGTAACAGGGAGCCTTCCGGTTTGGGGTGATGACAAGGTTCTGAGAGGGACAGTGGTGCCACAGGCAGGCGAGACATGCTGGACACACCTAGGTCACACCTGGAAGCGGTTCAAATGTAAGTGTTATGCTGTGTGTAGTTTCCAACCAAAAAAAAAGAGAAATACTAAGTGGTAAGTTTTTTTAGGATTTTCACCTGAATTTCATATGCTGTAAAAAAACCCACATTAGAAACACTAATATTTCTAACATGTACATCATCAAATAAAATCAGACTTGGGCTCATCATCCCGGAGTCACAGAGGCTGTGGGTCTGTTATTAGTGTGGCCGTGGCCGCCAGGCCTGTGAATGACATGTTTACACTCAGCACACGATCCAGCACAGGGAGAGACAGGAGCAAAGGGGCTGCATCAACACCCGACTCGGCCACCCTCTGCTGACATCAGCACATGAGGAATCCCAGGGCCCCAATCCCGCAGCCTGGCTACAGCGCCACCTTGACTGAGCAGCGCTGCTTCCAGGTCACAGGGCAGTGCGGGAGGAAGCGCAGAGATGGCCCCACCACCAGCACATTTCCTACGGGCCCCGCACAGGAAGTCAGCTGACGTCTCACCTGCCTGGGCTCCTGCGATGAGACCGGGGGCCGGGGCTTCCAGTTCCAGGGGCTGATGTCATCAGCACTGAGCCGTGATCCTGGTGACCTGCTCCCTAACCTGGTGTGGCTGCAGCCCTTCAGCTGGGGTTCAGGTTAGAAGGGGAGCCGAAAAGGAAAAGGGGGAGGAAGAGGAGCGCAAAAGGAGAAATGCTTGCACATTTCCTGCTCACTAAAGCCCTGCGCCTCCATTCCATGGGATGGACCCTGCTGCAGCAGCCCCAGGCCTGCGCCGCCCTGGGAGGGGCTGCCCAAGCCCAGATCCCAGGGACACAAGGGACGCAAGACTGGAGGGGCACTGTCAGGATTTCTGGTGACTCCTAGTTAGAAACTGCGAGCCAAGTTTAAAAAAGACACATTAACACGTCTTAACCACTATAAGTTGTGGCGAACAATACACGGCCACAGGGCTACCTTCGAGCATCAAGAGGTAACTAGAGGGCCTCCCCAGTAGCGCAGCGGTTGAGTGCTGGGTTGCCAAGCTGCCCGCGGCCTCTGCGGCGCCGGTTCAATCCCCAGCTGCCCCCGGCCACCGGAGGAGGGTCCCACGTGGCGCGCAGACCTCTCCTGCCGCCCACTGCTCCCCTCAGCAGTGTACCTCGGTCCTTCTGCCTGCTCTGCTCCCCGCTCTGGCTCTGGTGAATTCTCTCACCCTTCCGCCCTTCTGACTGTACCCAGAGCACTCAAGTGTTAGGAAATCCATCTGGAGGTCCAGCAGTTCTATTCCTCTTGTAGTGTGGGCTTGCCACCTAACCCCAGTTAGCACTTAGGTACAGCCCCTTGGGCCTTCTTACACCAGACCAAAAACTATCACAAAGCCAAGGGGCCAGCGGCAGCTGTGAACACTGCCTAGTGAGAGAGGATAGAACTTACTGGAGGGAAAAAAAGGTGACAAATGAGATTTCAATTTTCACTACATTTATTTTACATCATGATTTCTTAGTCCTTATTAAGTTGGTACAAGTTAGGAAGCTAAATACCCCTCCCTTTTGCTGCATGTTTCGTAGGGGCAGGAAGAACAGAATCTGAGCACACAGGCACGGGGCGCAGGAAATGGGGCGAGGAGGCTGGAGAGAGGGTGTCTATAGGAAGCCTCTGGAGCGCAGGCAACTCACACAGTGCAAAACCGATGACAGAAGTGTCTCCTCCTCGCCCAGCCTCAGCCCACACATGGCACAGGCCGCGGCCCTCACCTTCCCTGTTCTGGATCCAGCAGACGTTGCTTTGCCCGTAGGAGCCAGTCCTGGTCAGCATAGCACAGGAGCTGCAAGGTCTACATGGAGCGTCACAGCAGGGGAAGTTCTTCAGGCCTCACAGGCAGCTGCCCTGTCAGCTGGGTGTACGACTCATCTGCAGACCTAACTAAGTGCAGGCGACATGAAGACCACGCCTTGGTTAAAAGTCTGCATTTAACAGCCCCAGACAGTAATTCAAAGGAATTGTTCTCCCTCGGCCTTTTCCTGCCATTTCCTCTTAGGTCTACACCAGCCTGATGCTTCGAGCTCCATCAGGGACAGCATGGCTGTGGCCTCTGGATGGACACCACTCCCAAGACGGCCAGCAGGTGTGCAGTTGACCCACCAGTGTTCACCTCATCAGCTCTGCCCAATCCACAGGGGTGAAAAACGGATGAGATTTGATATCTTCAACCCCAGCGACTCCAGCACCAAGACGCTCCACAGGATTGAACTGCAAGAGCTAACAGAAGGATTCAGTGAGCAGCGATGCAAAGGAAAACGAAACCTAAGGAGGGAAACGTCTCAATCCCACCCCGCTGATACAGGACATGATAAACAGCCCCTGACCGCTCTCTCTCCCAAGGGCGCGTGTCTATACCACACCAGCTGAGGGCTGGAGGGGCCTCTGCACCACGCTGAAGGCCTTTCAACTACTTGAGGCCTGACCCGGAGTGACTCGCTTCTCTCACTCTCAGAGTAGGATTTACTCAAGAAAGCATTGGCGCTAAGGAACTGCTGGCCACGTCCTGACAGGCCCAGGTCCTCTTCCAGGCCTACAAGGGTAGGGAGCCACAGTCAAAACACACACACACACACACACACACACACACGCAGGCACGCACGCACGCATGCACGCACTCCTGAACTTGATCACCGGGCTGACCTTGACCTTAAGTCTGAAGAAGTCAAGTCAGATCCTGGAGTGGCTGCTGCATGGGGTCCAGTGATGGACCCGCACTGACACCTCACCAACAGGAGCCACGTGTCACCAAGGCCCTGCACCATCAGCACTGCGAGCCGTAAGAGGGGATGCCGGGACGTGACTCACCGCACCTGGGCCCTCCCCGCCAGGGGCCGCACTGAGCCGCCATCACCCACTCCAGCCTCCAGACACCTGCTTGCCCTACGGTGGCCTGGTGCCAGCTGCAGTGACCCCTCACTCCCCTCCCAGCCCTGGGCAGACACTGGTTGGCTTCTTGTACCAGCTCGTCCTCTCTGGGAACTTTAAGTACATGGAGGCATGAAATGAGCCGCCTTCTTTCCCTGGGCCCCACCCCGCCACAGCAGGCTCTGAGAGGAGCATCCACGACCAGAAAGGACACGCTTAGTCCATCCTTCCCAGGTCTGGGCACAAGGAAAGTTTCTGTTTAGCGCTTTCAGGAACTTTGCTCAAGTATCTGTACCATTTAAGCTCCTCAGAACCGGACATGGCTCCAGTTTCCACCTCCCCACCCAAGCGTGGGGCTGTCTGTTGGGAGCCTCCCGGGGACTCTGGGGTCTCCACAGGGCTTTCATGTGTGTTCCTGACGGCTAAGGGCATTGGCCTCGCTTGCCTCCTGGTCAGTCATACCCACCACTTCCGTGGCAAATCTGTGACCAATCTCAGACTGAGTTTTTTCTCTTATTGAGTTATAAGAATCCTTTACACATTCTGAATATAAGTCCTTTACCAGTCACATGATGCAAAATATTTTCCCCCAGTCTGAGGCTTGGCTCTCAGTTTTTTAACTGCTGTCTTTCAAAAATGCAAAAGTTTTCCATTTTAATGAAGCCCACTTAATTTTTATCTTTGATGGATCACTCATGTTTCTGGAGTCAGAGCTCAGAACTATGACTAACCCAAGATCGTGAATATTTTGTTTCCTTTTACAATTTTGACAGTTTGATTCTCTATGTTGGTCTAGAAGCTATTCTGAGTTTATTCCTGCACATGGTATGAAGAGTCTCAGCTCATTTTGGATTTCGCAAGTAAGTGTTTCATCTTTCCAGCAATATTTGTTGAAAAGACTATTTTTTCACCATCAAATTACCTCGATGCCTTTATTGAAAATCAACAGATCATAAACATAAAGATTCATTTCTGGGCCCTCAATCCCAGAGGATACAAATGTGCACCCACATTTGCTCCAGCAGCATAGCGACTATGGACGTCAGGTGGTCCAGTATCATCATTTCCTTTTTTGGGGAGTGAATTTTCCAATTTCTGTCTACAGTCACTCAAGTCTGAGCCTGTCCCTATGGTCAATAATTGTTTCCATAGAACGTAGCCAAGTACAACAAATACTTAATGAGTTCCTTACATTCATGGTCTATATATATAGGATACCTCACAATTCAAATTTAACCAAAACTGGGACTCCCTGGTGGCGCAGGGGGTTAGGACGTTAAGTGTAAGTCCACAGGTGGACTATGGGGCTGTCTGTAGCCACTGCAGCACTATTTCTATCCCCGGCCGGGGAGCTACCTGCATGGTGCAACAGACCTCTCCTGTCTCACCTGCTGTTCCTCAGCAGTGTGTTTCAGTCGATCTGCCTGTTCTGTTCCCCACTCTGTCTCTGGTGGGTTCTCTCACCCCCACACCTCTGTCCTGTATCCCAGTTCTTGTATGCATACATATAAAAAAAAATTTAACCAAAACTACTATTACTTCTTTTCCCTTTATTTCTATTTTTGCTTTCATTTATGATTCATTTGTTCAGTTAGCACAACTGCCCACTGACAGCCCAGCACATGCCACCACTACATTGTCAGCCCTTGTTAATGGTGTGGCTTGCGGCCCCTCTCACAGTACCACATCCTAGTCAACCACGTGCTTCATCCATCCCAAGTCAAGGCATGTCATGAACCGTCAATGCTGTGCAGGCAACAATAACACAAACATTTCTGTGGTACTGTGTGCAAACGTGGTTCTTCACACAGGTGAATTCATTTAACTCATAATAAGCTAATGACTGGCTACTGTTATCACCTTTATTTTATAGATGAGAAAACAGAGACTGAAAAAATTAAATACTGTGACAATCACACACACAGGCAGTAAGCAGCAAAGACAGGACTTGAGCTTAGTGACTATGCAGCCAGCAAACATGTCTCTCAGCTTCCACCATCTCTCACCCTTGTGGCATCTGTCAACGCCAAGAGCCTAGGATGTCACTTTGACATGACCTAATCCCAACGGCAGTGATGCATACACTTCAGAAGATGCTATCACAGCCCTTCCACTTGAAATTAGTATCTCCATCATTCAAAATACCATACTACTGTCAAAGCTATCCGTTCAAAGAATCCGTGCATCACAAGTTGCTAAAGTGTGTTCAGACAAAAAGCTGCTATTATAAAACGAACCTCATGAGAATATCCTAAATGTATCAAATCCCAATGTCAGTATCAGTCACTTCATATCTACTGGTTGAAGTGTGGAAGGCATTACACATTTTAATATAAAATATCAAATTTTTGTATTGGTAAGAATAAACTGTAACTATAGCACATTTTTTATTACTTCAGGAAACATGGAATTTCCTTCTTTGTTATAATTAGCTTTTCCACACCAATTCTTTGCAAACATGACCTGACATTTCAAAACAAAATTAGTATTTTGACTTTTACTGAAGTCGTTTTGCTTAGTTTACAAACATGTCTCTAAATCTGTAAGCGTAAGTCCATAGGCGGAAGTATAGTTGTTTTACTCATGACTGTGCTTATTCTAACACTTTAAATGCTATACCAGGCTTCAAGAGAGAGCACACACAGATTCTATCACTTGAGATGTGTCAGCCAGTGGCAAACCCAAGACAGCCACGCCCGCCTGCTCTCTCCTGGCAAATAGGCATGATCGCTGTGCGCCGAGGACAGAGAGCTGTTCCAAGGTCCTTCCCTCACATCATCTTTCAACTGACAAGCAACTCTGTCATGATTAACTAAATGCACACACTGTGAAGCACAAACACCCTCTCTGAGGATTTATAAAGTCTCTTTTATTGCGCCAAAGGTGTAACTTTTAATAACTTCCACCAGGCACCCTTCACCTGACTGAGATGGCAAAACTAGGGCATAGGGTGAGTAATCTAGGAAGAAAGCAAGAGGCTGAATGACCAACAGGGAAAAAAAAATATGCCCCCAGATTATTTCCATACAAATCATCAGTGATTTTTAAAAGTGCCCTCTATGGCCTATGAGGTGGAGGAATAGGAAAGTCAGCATGACGAAGTGCTGATTGTGCCAAGAGGCGCCCTCTCCCTTCCCTGGACTGCCCCCCAGAAGGGCTGGGGGCGCTTTCACTCCAGCAGCCCCACAATGCACCCAGATGCCCTCCTCCCACATTCAACATAACTTCTCACAAAGACCAGAACAGCGCCCTTCGCAGATTAACACCGGATCGAACTGCTCCTGTAAGGCAAAGACCCTCAAGAGAGCAGCTGCGAGCCTTTCTTAAATGATCTACCAAACACACACTGCAGGCACCTGCTAGGTCACAAGCGAGGGGGTCCGAGCAGGGGCTGTGCTTCCCCCATTACGATGAGGTATCTTGGTTCTCGTGCGACCAAGGCATCTCCTTGTGGCATTTCCACCCTAACAACCTCTCCATCTGTTGGCACTCAGACCCGACTCCATCCTTCTGCTATCACAGTCCACTCTTCTGCACAGGCCAAACTGTACGCCTCCCTCCCCCATGTACAGAGCACCAGTACCCCCATAAGAGAACCCCGACTCGCTGCTCCACATGGTGCACCCCTCATACACCCCCTCCTCTCTGGACAAACTTATTTCCCAAACTGAGTCTTTCTGACTCCTCCCCTGCCTTGGAGCCCCTCATCCAACATCGACCTCGTCTGAGGCATGTGGAAACCCTTGTGACGTGGCCATAGCCCACCTGGACACAGTGACATGTGCGTCCTGCCTTTGCAGCTTACCATGCTCTACCTTGCAGATTATTTCTTGAATGGAATCAAAATCCCTCTTGAAGACAATCCAAAGTAATTCTCATAAAATATCCTCCCCTCCCCACCTGTAAAAAAAAAGTGTTTTCCCGGTTAAGAAAATAACTCGCGTTTCAGTAAACAAAAAATTTTACTTCTTGTTCCTTTTCAAATAGCCTTTATCCCTTTAAGCATCTCCTGACAGCACCAGGACGGCAGACCTGACACCTGCCCATGTGCCATGGCCAGCCCTCGTGGTCTCGGCAAGCTCAGGACACCAACAGGGGAGCCGCAAATGTGGGGTGTCCCTCTAAGAAGCCTCGCATGTTCTAGACCTACCTGTGGGACACTCAACTTTTATCAATGACCATGACTGACCATCGATCATCTTTCTTCCAAGTCACAGAGACACACTGGCTGCAGGAGGCCATGCTCGGTCCGGGGGCCAGCAGTGGCCAGACCGTGTGAGCATTTTGACATGTCCCCCTCAGCAGCCATTCCTAAGATCATGAGTATGAATTCAGAATGAGAACAGCCATTTGTATAACAGAATGTAATCACAAAGAAAACTGAGGCACTCCAGGCAAGCTTGAAGCAAACTTGAATCTCACACCTATACAAGTACATGGAATTGAGTAAACATTACCTGGATTTTAAAGAAACATTTCCAAACCAATAAGCTTCAGCTGTCTTCTCTGACCACACCATTGCACAGTGGCAGCCTAAAAAGACACAGCGTCGCCTGAACTTATAACACGGGAGGGGGCTTTAATGGGCTAGAGTGGTGGGTTCTGCTCACTTGCATGGCTGACACACCGGGCCAAGGGGCCAGGTGAATTACCTGTTGGATGAGTGAGCGCGCCTCTTCGGAGACACATTCTGGCATGTTCAAAGTAGTGTGGGTATTTATCCCAGCCGGATGGCACTCCACCAGAGTCTGAAACAACCAATTAGGTAGACGTCTTACCCCAAACATACCCGTATTCTGTCCTACTGCAGGCCTTGTGGGCAGAGGGAGGGTCCCACAAGAGTTGTAACTGAAGGGCGAATAAGAGAGCACCCCCAAGCAGCCAGGACAGGAGGCTGTGAGCCCACAGGCTTCTACCGGAGTGAAGGCAACCCCAAGATCACATCCCAGGCTTGTGCCTCCAGCCCTTCTCTTAGTCACCATGACGGCCCATAAGAGGAAAGTTTAACACACACAAACGCTAAAAAGGGTTTGGTACCTCTGAGAATTTGTGATGATCTTAAAACCCTTCAAACTTTAGAATCTATTAGTAATACTCTAGAATTTGTGTTTTCTGGTTTAAAGGTGTGTACAGGTGCCATGTAAGCTTCACAACACTCCTAGCATTGGGGGCCTTTAAGGCAGAGGATGACTCTTGGGGACGACTCTCCATTTTCTCTCTCTCCTTCCCAGGAGGTGACCTGCACAATACTCTCCTAAAAGCCTACAAACATCAAACACCTCACCTAAAAGTTATTGATCAGAGAGAATTATGATTTATGAATTCATTCCCTAAGCAATAGCAGATAGGAAAAAATTACAGTATTGAGAAAAAAAAATGATGTTGCCTTTAATAGCTACATTAATTTTCTAAAATGAGAATTCCCTCCCAGTTTCACACAAGATGTGTAAAACATCCAGAAAATTCTAATATACAAACCTTACAGTTTTAACTCTGTTAAAACTGACTCGGGAAATGTAGAGAATGTTAGTCATCCTTTTCACTATGAAATAACATTGTGACAAGAACAGAGCTTGGCCATCAGCTCACTCAACAAAATGTCATTCTACCTTTGAAAAAATCTGGAGTCTGATATACTCGCATTTCCAGCACACTGTATCCCTCTCAAAGTCCCTGACCTAACACCAAAGGCAAAGACTCTAGGTGTTCTCGAGTGAATGGGGCTCCTTCCCCAAGGCGCGCAGCACCCAGGTCCCACTCACTTTGCCAGTGAGCAGCTCGAAGAGGACAGCACCCAAGCTCCACCAGTCGCAAGCTTCTGTTTCTTCCGTGATGGCTCCAACCTCTAAAACACCAAAAAGGTTGATATTAAAATTCCAAAGGTCAATTAAACTTACAAAATTAGCATGTATTAGCAAGGTGACCTCTTTAATGCTGAGAGAGCAGATACTAAACACCACGGGGCTTTCAACGTTCCTCAAAGTTACTTCTCTCTTTGGTCACCTACTGTGGCTGGTTTTTGTTTTTTTTTGGGTTTTTTTGTTTTTTTTTGACACGGTCACACATTAAAGCAGGCTGTGTGTCCGTCGCTGATGGAGGGACACCTTCAAGATGCTACACTCACAGCCACTGAACTGTCTGGCTCAGCATTTTCAAACTGGAGAAATGACAGCCAACCCTATTCAGGGGGCAAATTATTTCTTTTTAAAACTAAAGACTAGATTCAGAAGAAACTTGAAAAATTCTTAAAACCAGTAGAGATTATCCTTTTAGCTACAAATAAGAAACCACAGAAGTAGAACGCCTCATCCAACGACGCATGGTAAATTACTGGCACAGTAAACTTAGACCCCATCTGCCCAACTGCCACCCACCACCTTCACACACTCCTTTGTTTTCATGTAAACAGGGAGCATGTGAAATGCAAATTCACCCACTTGGTTATTTCAAGTATAGAACCGTTGTTTTAAGCCACAACTGAAACTAGACAGGGCTTTTTAGAGCACCCCCAAATCACAGCTGGGTCTTTTAGAATCCCCATGCCCCCACCTTGTGCACAGCTCTCTCACTGCACAAGTTCTGTGTCCACAAATCAGTAACAACTCATTTCACCATTTTGGAGGTTTTTAGCCCGTAAGTCGTGGAGTCTGACGTCATCTTAGTCGCTAAGCCTTGTCACCCTTTCATGCCCCCGAAGGCCAGCACCCAACGCTGTCTGCAGGACTGGCCTCTGACCGGCTGGTCTCAGTGAGGTGGTAAAAAGAGAAAACACATTTAACTAATAAAACTGATTGTGCAAATGACCAAAGTCTCCTCACCCCCAAGAGCCACACACGTGCACGACAAGCCACTGCTCGAACCACCCGCTGCTGACCTGGTCAGGGTGATGGCATACACGGGACGCATTTCAGAGGCTATATGAAGTAAAACCCAATTTTAACAGCACGTATTCAGAAAAAATACTGGTGGGAAATATGGTGAAATGCTTCAGCGATCTGGCCTAGGGCAGTGCGACACTCCTCCTCCTACTGTGGCTGTGAATGTCAGGCACCAGCAGGTGACCAGAGAAGGTAAGCGGGACAAGGCGAATCTGCAGGCCATGAGCCCTGCCGGCTTCTCGTAAGGCCTCACACAGCAAAGGAAACAAGGAGCCGATCTCAAGGGACCCCTAGATCCCACCAGAGCAGGAGTGCTGGATCCCAGGGCCTCGGCCTGGGCACTCAGGATTTCCTAAGGGTCTTCTCATAAAGGACGACTCCTTGGGGGCCTATTCAAAGCACTTATGCTGCCCTCCCAGCCCCAACACCCTGCCCCAAAGAAAATCTTGGGAAGCATTTTCTAGATGCTTTAGAAAAGATGTGTGTTCTTAGGAACTTGAGAAAAGTGAAAAGGAAATACACCTCCATCCTGTCTTCAAATACCACCTCTTGCCAAAAGTGAATGGCTTCTTGCTGACCACTGAGCTACATGCAGAGGCCTTGAGATCAGGCCTCTGTGAGACCAGGGCGTCCACCTGCTTGAGTGGTTCACCAGGCACCACACCTCCACGCCTAGGAGGCAGCGGCACCTCTGCAGAGCAAGGCTAACTGGCAGTCAGGTACGCAGTTTCCCACCAGTCTAGGGAAGGGTTTTCATTTTTGCTCAAAAAGTTCAATCATATTATTTTCTTTAATCACACAGCAAGAGGCCTTGATTTCTTAGTTTTATAAAGGCCATGTCTGTTTCCAACTCAAGAGCCAACAGCCAGTGGCTCACGTGGCTACCGGTCTGCCTGCCCATCGGGGAATACGTGCTGTGGAGGGCAACCAGGGTGCCCGGCACATAGAATCGCAGTAACTGTTCACCACAACGAAGCAACACATCTAACATTTCACATCAATTATGGCAAATTTCCAAGCATCTTAAGAACTTATTTGGGCAGGGCGGCTCTGGAGGACAAAGAATACTGGCTATGCATGCCCAGGGGTAAAACGGCTGGGAAAATTAATGAGAGGGTTTATAGGGTCTCACATGCCCTGAGACGCTCTAGACTAAGCCACACCCCAGCCTCTATGGATGGTTTACAGGAGCACCTCACAATGCAGAAAAGCTCCCTGAGAGCTGTCGCCAGCCAGGCCTAGGCCACCAGAAGCTACAGTCACACCTGCTGCTTCCCAAGTCACTGCTGGGCAGGGGCAGGCTTGAGGCTACCAGACCAACACAGTCCCCGCCCTGCTCCCCAAAATCAGCGGGTACTATTTTCCTATTAAAAAGAACCACAGCTCTCTCATGGGACAGAACGTAAAATTCGCGTGGATTTACAAGATACAAAGACTTCAGAGAACCTTCAGGACCCCACTGCACTAGCCCCCTGTGGTGTTCGTTTCATAGCCCTCCAGAGCCAGAGCATTTGGGGATGCATGAGGGGCATTCATGGCAAAGTTTATTCCTTCATTGCTTTCTGCAAACTTGCTCACCAAGGAGCCTGAGAACGAGGCCCTCTGCTTTCATGCCCCTTTGAAATACCTCGCAATTTTCTGCAGAGCCCTGGACGTGTAGGTAGTGAGGAAATGTAGGTGTCTGAGGAGCCCCAGTACACAGTGAGGTGGCACAAGAGAACTAAGAAGGCATGAAGGCCTGTTTACTTCCCACCTCTCCAGGCCGGCTGTCCAGCCCGGTCATGCCTGGCGGCCCCGCAGAACCACAAGCATAAGGCAGCACCGCCAAGCGCAGTTACCCCAGCTTCTCCTTCCACCTCACCTGAGTGTCCCACTACCAGCTCTCCTCCCTTCTCCCCTCCTTCTGGGGTCATTAATCAAGCACTCCTTCTAGTGGCACTTACGGAGCCTTACTCCAACTTGAGAACCATCACTGCTCTCGCGTGACAGCAACGAGCCTGAACACGGCTCCAACCTGGCTGGGCTGGTCGGGAACAGTTAACTTTAAAAAAACTTTTTTTTCATGGAAACCTGGAAAAAAGACACTGAATGTTTTAATTTCACCCCCTTAACAGCACAGCTTAGAACGTGCACGATGCTCATCTGTGGCGCAGGGGCTCGCGACCAACTGTTGGTTTCACAGACGCGCTATACAGCGAGGCCTGGATGGAGGAAAGACACAGAACTTCCCGGGGGCTAGGAAACTTACACATTGTAACTGGGAGCAAGTACTTGTGCAAAGACTCCTTCAAGGTTTAAAAAACATTTTCAATGATCAGAATGAAGAATCTGGGCTGTCTTTGGGACATCCCTTAAGAACCAGATTCTCAGATTAAACACACACACATATGCCCAGACCCTGGCGGCCCTGCTGTGGGAAGCTGAGCTTAGGTGACTGGGCAAACCACTGCTTTAAATTGCTTTACTGCAAAGTCTATGTAAGAACCGCAAGCACACATGGAGCCCACTGGGCTGTGTTCACAGGTGCATGGCGGTGGCAGCAGACACTAGGGCACATGAGGCAACACCACACAGACTTGTGATGCTACTTCAAAGCATAATACACCGCAGCTGAGAAATTCCTGTAAACTCCTACCTTGACTTTTAAAACCTCTGGGGGAAGAAAGAGCAGAAAAACATTTTAAGGGATAAATTGTACCACTGTTTTGTCAATTTTCACAACGTTTTCCCTAGAAGACCCAAAGTGTTTCAGTTTCTGCGCATGCCCTATATTTGCAATTCTGGGGGGAATGTGAACTTATTCTCCAAAATGGGGCAGCGCTGACATCGTTAAGCAATGGGGGGTAGGAGGAAAAGACCGTGTTCCTAAGACAACTCGTGCTTGCATTATTCCCACCAGAAGAGACGCGACCGCGGTGCCTGGACTCCGCCGTGAGCCACAGCGACGCTGGGCCAGGGCGCCATCCGCACCTGGCTGGGCATGTCACCAGGCTTCTCTGAAAACCTGGGCAGCCAGGCCCCTGACACCCTTTCTACCTGTGATTTTATGGTCCTGAAAGTGTTTTCAAAAGCACTCCGGAGTCTTTCTCATAACTTCTTCTCCCTCCATTAACCTAAAATGTCCAAAGAGTGGGATTATGCTAAAAAGATCTGGCACTCCTCAACCTCCCTTTCCTGAGCGATAGGGCGGGGGAGAGCAGAGTCCATGTCACGAACGCCAACCCCACCACTCTCCAAAGGCAGAGAGACACAGAACGGCTCCATCCCACAGTTGCCAACAGCATCGAATCTGTGAGAACAGTGCAGTAAAATTCTAGAACTCTCTCAAGCATGATCAAATCACACATTCAAACAATATAGAATCCTCCTGATTGATACTAATGATTCAAACGACCACAGTTCCCAAGTGAATAAACAAGTTTAAATGAAATAATAAAGCTTTCACAACATAAAATGACAAAATGGGCTTTGTTTTACTTGTGATTAACACCTCATAGAACACTCTTCAACAAGCCAGGAGTTTTCAGAAAAATAATGCTGCCTTGGTAACCCATATTGCCGAGGGCTCGCTAAAATACAGAAGACGAGTTTTATAGCCCTTATGAAAATCATGCAAGGCTCACCAAGTGTCTCAGCGCCAAAAAGAATGATGCAATCTGACTCTGAACGTGTAACAAGCTTCAATCCTGAAAAGCAAAGTAGTAGAAAAGCAGAACAGGAGGCCCTAGGGAACCATGATGTCAGGTGTGCGGGAAACAATGCAAAGGACACCCCCTCGGACACAGGGAAGACCCCACAGAGACCCTGTGAGCTCGGGGTCACAGGCATCGTGGCCACTTCCTCTCCAGGTCTGCCTTTTAGGATCCAAGTGAAGCCACACAGATTTGTCAAAGACGTGAGCTCCAAAGATAATGCCAAATCCAATCTGGAAATTATATAGAAAACATCACAAACCCAAACTCAAATT